CATAATGGTAAGTGAAATAAATCAGACATACAAGCTTAAATATAAATGAGCAAAACAGAAGATAACAGGAAGTAAGGAGTTAGATTGATCATAAAGGGGAAGGGGATAAAGAGATGGAGGGAGGAGGGCAGGAGGAGGGAGAGAGAGGAAATGGGATGAAAAAGAGATGTGTTATGTAGACATACCAACTTCTCACAAGGAATGTAAACATCTACCACATGCATGTACTAATAAACTTATTAAAAAAAGAAGACTTCTGAGCCCCTCCACCCCCAAAGGAGGATGGGTGAGTGGGGTTGTAGCTCAGTGTGAAGGCCCTAGGTTCAATCCCCACAACACGGGGAAAATAAAGAGACAGGCTCAGGGTCATTTCACTATCTACCTCCAGAAAAGGGCTGAGCCAGGTCCACACAATCCAGTTATTTAAATTATACTGCATTTCCTATTATAATACCAGTTTCCCTCCAACTCACAGAAAACATTATTAACATCAATGTAAGAATAGGACAAAAAAGATCCTCTTGAAGCATCTGCTACACTTTACGAATACACTTGTAAAACTGAACAAGCCATAAATATATAGCTGAGAAACCTTATTTTGATCAACGATTTACAAAGTCATGTAAAACTCAAACAATGACGTAAATGGAAATTATGTAAATTCAGCACAGGTCAAGAGCAAAATTGAGAACACTTACAAAATACTAATTTTATGAATAGCAAAAACGTCACTAATCACATGTGGAAAGCTTTAGTCTAGGGAACCCTGGGGCACGGATTCCAGCCACTGGCTAACACACAGCTTGGCAGGTACCATGCCTACCAGACAGCACAGTCCTGACTACGTACGCAATGGGCTGCCACACATGCACGTCGTCCTTGTGATGGTAAAATGTGGGGTAAGAGTGTACCTGTTACTTCTACAGGCTCAAAGAACAGCTGGATCTTTGAAACTTGCAAAGTGACAGACTTTGATCACTTGCAATTCCTAAGCGTGATGATGACCTTTGCTCTCACTGCAAAAGACAGCATGGTTTAGGTCTAAGACTTAAACATCACAGGCAAGGTGGAGCAGGAATGAGACATTCAGTGCTACTGCTCTGATACAAAAAGACATTAATATAAGTGAGAAAACTCATATGTAGCCCTATTACATGTTGTATAATACCCTAAACTTGACAAAATTTCTGCACATGGGCTTACCACATGGAATAAAAATGTGTAATTTTTTGTTTGTTTTTGTTAAGTACTAAAACTAAATTCACAAGTGCTTCTAGAATATCACTACAACCAACCGGTCACCCAGTGCCTGGGCTGCCTTGTGGAAGACAGCAGTCCCTCCACCTGACTGTGGGACTTGCTTTCCTGGGCTTGCTCTTCCCTTAGCATTAGCACACCTTTTTTTTTGAGGAGGGGTGGTGATTCTGAGGATTGAACCCTGGGCTTACTACACTGAGAAATATACCCAGCTCTTTTTGAGACAGGATCTCACTAAATTCCTAAGTTACCCAGGGTGGGTTCAAGCTTTCAATCCTCCTGCCTCAGCCTCCTAGGATGCTGGGATTACAGGTGTGTACCACCACACCTGACCTATTATCACAACTTATGCACACTATGTACACACTTTACTCATCTCATCTGTCTCACTCCTTCCTGTGTTTCATGCAGCACATAGTACTCCCTAATACACATATACTGAATGAATGAGGATTTCTCTGCCAAGTGCTGTAATCCCTGGGCCCTGACTGCTCAGCAACCCTTTGGGCCCTGGTCAGAGATCTTCCATTCTCTACATGTTTCCCCTTGCTCAAGTCTCTGCTCTATCCCTCACCACTCCGGGCTGGCACTGGTGCCCTGTACCCTTCGGCCCCACTAAACGGCCTGCGGTGTACCTGCCTCCCCTTCCCTCTTCATGCAATGGACAATGAATTTCCTCTCCTACTGGATGAAGGGCGCACCTCCTTTTGCATCCATTTTCTCTACTTATTTCACTCTACTCGTTTTTAAATGTGCTCAAAACTCTACCATCCTAGTTATTTTTACCTTTGGCATTGGCCCTCTGCTAACGGCAACTCTCCCATAGCTGCACCTTCAGCCAGCTGTGTGTGAGATCTGGTCTTACCGTGTCCAATACAGGCCCCAGAGTGTCTCAGACCCACTCATGCCAGCAGACTACACAACCAGCTGTCCCTCACCCCAACCCTGGGCTCAGTCACTCTTTCCAAGCCCATCTCTGTCTCTAGAGTGCCAATATCCACTCAAGGATGCCACTTGCCTACCGCTTCTCCATTTTCAGCTTTTTTTTTGGACTATTTCTCATATTACAGCCAGAATGACTGCTTCTACAAAAAGTAAGTCTAAAAATCCAGGATCTGCTTAAAATTGTCCCTGCTTTCCCAGAACTCTGGGCATAAGTTTAGATAGCCTGAAAGATCTCCCCAGTCCCGCCCAATCCCCTTTCTGCAAGGTCTTCCTGTCCCGAGACCCAGCCACTGTGAACTACCCATTGCTTGCCCTGTGCCACCTCAAGGAGCTGGAATAGGGTGGAAGAGTGGAAGGAGCTAGCCACACTCAGTTTCCAGTGGTGCTGCAGAATGAGGGAGCCATGTTATCACAGGCTCTCTACTCAGGTCTGTTCAGTGATGTCAGGACAGACTTTTAAACCAACGTGTCTGCACAAGACAATCACCTGACACTTGGGACTCATTCTGTGCCTGCCATGAGCCTTCTCAAATGACAGGACAAGAGTAAAAAAAAAAAAAAAAAAAGACCCTGGGCAGATTCCCTGCCAGGGTAGATTCTGGATGCATGGGAGGTGTCATAATAAGACTGAGTGGCCATGGAGGTGGCCTCTACCCTTACGCTTGTACTTATGGCATGGCATGTTTATCAAGTTTAGGGGCAGAATAAAACTGGAAGGAATAACTAACATGCTGACCACAGATTAATGTTCAAAGAGTTCTCTAGAGGCTAGAAGTCCTGATTCTACCAGCTGATCAGGGATAGTTCCTGCATCTGGAAGTAGAAGAACCACTACCAGGAAGGGACAGCTAATCACAGCATTCAAAAGAAAAAAAGCCAGGCATAGTGATGCATGTCTATAATCCCGGCACTCTCGGAGCCTGAGGCAGACAAGAAGATTGTGTTTGAGGCCTGGGTAACGCAACAAGACTGTTTCAAAATGAAAAAACAAAAAGGGCTGGGATCATAGCTCTGTGCAAAGGCCCTGGGTTCAATACCCAGTGTCACGTGCACACCTCCCAAACAATGATGATGTCAGATATTAAGCTCAATTTGAGAAAAATAGTGTGTAATACAGCTCAAAAGGCTAAATGAAACTTATAGTGCGTTTCTAGGAGTATGATTTTGGGATGAGGGAGGCTATAGTCTTGCACTGGCAAAGTGCAGTTCCAGCAACATCAGTCTGGGCATAGGGACCCTCACAACAAAGTTGCCCATAAAAACACTGAAAACCACAACTATGAAGAATGACAGTGGAGAATGGGGAAACAAGATAGAGTTGGTTGTCTGCAACTCAGCAGTGTGGGGAAAGAATGAATTCTTGCTTTTTACTATTTCAGAGGACAAAGTTATTCGTTTAATTACAGGAGGCTGACTTGGACAAAGTGTGAAGAATTCAACAGTGTCCAGGAAATGCAGTGCACTGGGAAGGGGCATCAGCTTCAGAGGCTTCTAGCCTCTTCTAAGTATGCAGCAAGTATTTTGGAAAGCAGCCATGTGCAGAATCGGAGCATGTTCTCTTCCTAGTCCCCTCTCCAAACCTACTGAGAGCTGTGATTTGCTGAGTACAGGCTCACTCACAGCTCAGGCAGACTTCATGCCTGCATACAGGTCTGCTTTGTTACATGGACCCAGTTCTAGAGAAACTGGGCTGTTAGTTCTCCAGTTACAATGGGCAATAAGTTTTATATGTATCCCTCATAGTTTATATTTCTTGTCTCTTTTACAATTAATTCAAGCTCTCTGTGGGCAGCTTCTGGTCCAAATCATCTCATCATTTTCTCTTCTACTTGTACCAAGGAGGAACTTAAAACACAAATTTTACTTTGATTTTAGGATTTTTCTTTCAACTGAAATCAAAACATGACTTATATAATGCCCTTATTTTATAAAAATTTATTGCAGTGTGAATGGCACATCAGAAATTCTGTGGAGCTCTAAAACTACCAAGGAATGGGCTTCACTCCAAACCAATTAAATTAGTCTCTCCAGGATTAATATCTTTCCTCACCTCCAGCCAAGAGCAAGGTAAGTCTGAAAAAAGGACTGAGAACCGCTAGTTTATCTGATGAAGAAATGAAAAGATTTCTAAATTAACATGAAATAACAGAATGGGCCCCCATATTACCTAAAAAAGATACATATTTCTTTTTTTTTCACATGTGATGCTCATGGTGTTGGCATTATCATTTAAGAGGTTGGGTGTGTGGCATGGGGACAGACTTGGACTACACATGGCAGAAAAACATGACTATACTTAAAAATGCATAACCAACTTGGGTGATGACTAAGGTCAATAGCATAAAGGATTAGTAACTGAGCAAAGGCTAAAAAATTATGGTCCAAACACATCACAGAATGGTGGGCAGTTTCTAAAATATTTATGATATGAAGCAGCACTGAAAGACATTGAGAATGAAGCTAAAATGAAAAAACAATTCAAAATTATTTCTATAAGAAGATGTAAACTACCCAACAGTTATAGACTAATAAGGAACCCAGACAAATAGAGAGTACAATACAACACAAAGACAAGTTCAAGATAAATTATTCTCTGCTAAAGTGGAAAAAAAAAAAAAAAAAGGAAAAAGAAATGTCCAGCTTCCCTCCCACCTTGGATAGCAAACTATAGGATCCTGGTTTACTTACTCTCTTAAGGCCGAAGAGCCCCTATGTTAGTGAGCACAGAACCATGATGCATATGTAATGAGCATAAATTACCTTTTTACTCATAAAGTAGCATAAGACACCTTCCATACCTGGCCCAAGCAAAGGTGACCGATTCAGCTGAGTGCCAGCCTGGTGTGGAGGTGGTGTCTCTCCATGGTGTGTGGGGTTGGTTGTAGTGGGGGTGGTGGTGGGGGTGTTGGTCGTGGTACTGCTCTGCATGACTGGGTTGTTTCTGTCCCACATGTTTACAGTTTTATTGTTGTAATTGCTTGGGTCCCCCCAAGCTGAGGTACCATCATCGATTTCCATTTTGCGTCTGATAGATGGTGGAGAGGGTTCTTCCCAGCCAGTGGCCTCACTGTTGTCCTTCTGCTTGACTGGTACTGGTCCCCCAATCCATCCTGTCCCTGTCTGTTTAACAGAAGCAGCTCCTCCCCAGTTACTCACATTGTTGTCTTGGGGTTTGTTGGCCCAGTTCTGCTGGGGACCAGGTTTCAGAGATTCGCCCCAGTTTGTACCTGGATTTGCTTTTGTATTTGTGCCATTGCTCCAGCCACTGGCCCCAGATCTTGTGGCATCATTCCAACCAGACCCTGATCTAGTGCTGTCAGCATCCCATCCAGATCCATTTTTTTTTGCATCCCCCAGGTGTCCCAGGACAGATGATGAATCTGCCCAGTCCCCTCCTCCTGTACTCCAGGCAGGGTTTGATCTTTGTCCCTCTCCCCAGTTTTGGGATTTGGGCTTCTGAGGCTCACCCCAGGTGGGTGATTTGTCCTCCTGATTTACGGTCCCACTCCAAGAATGGCCACTCTTGGCAGCAGCAGCATTATTAACAGCAGTAGAGCTTATCGAGTCCCCCCAAACCCCTGGGCCACTTGGTGCTTTGTTGTTGCTGTCTCCCCAACCTGTGTTTGCTGGCACGGTGGCAGGTGGTGAGCTGACCCACCCTGATACTGAAGAGGTATTTGTACTGTTCATGATGGACCCATCATTCTTCCCCCCTGAGTTTGAAGGCGGAGTAGCTGCACACCCCCAGGCCTCTGTCCCATTGTCATTTTTCCTTTCAGACCTAGGGGATTCTTCAAATTCCCAGGCAGTGTTTTGCTTTACAGGTGTCTGTCCCCAACCAGTATTAGACAGAACTCTGGGGTCCAGATCATTCCTTGGCAGTTGGATGTGCCCTGGGTCTATAACCCCTTTATCTCGCCTCCGGCCCTCTCCTGTGCCCTCCCTCCCGGTGCCTCCTTCATTATGATTTCCAGACCCATCACTACTTCCTTCACTTGCTGTAGCTCCAGAAGATGCAGCTTTGGCCCAAGAGTTCATGTGTTCACTGCCAGGCTGCAAGGCAGAAGTCTGGCTGGCAACACTGGGACTATCCCACCCTGTTGATCCTTTCCCATTGATGTCACTACTGGAATGCTGGTTTGGGGGCTTTCCCCACTCCCCATTCACACTGTTAGAGGAACTTCGGCTGGGGTGGCCCCAAGCTCCCGAGTGGATATTACCAACACCATTGTTGCCACTGCCTCTGCCCCAGGTGAGTATCCCAGGGCCTGCTGGAGGCCCAGAGTCCCAGGCGCTCCCTCCATTCCCTTCCTTTTGCACAGCACTGCTGGATCCATTTTGTTTAGCACTTAATGCTGAGTTCACAGTGTCTCCATTCCCCTGACTGAACCCAGAACTGCTATTTCCCGTGGCAGGGTTACTGGGGGACAGTCCCCACACAGAATTGCTTATTCCTTCACCCCCACCCCCACTGCCTTGAGAAACCGATGATCCGTTAGCACCAGGAAGGCCTTGCAGGTGGGGCGAGATGATGGCCCCCATACCAACAGCCATGCCCCAGTTCGGCAGTCCATTTGTCTGCATTGCATTGATAGGGTTTGGTGAAGAGTTCATGGGGTTAGTGTTATTTGGTCCATCAGTGTTAAGGTTCTGAGGTTGTATGCTGAAAGACACATTCTGAGAAGTGGACGTTTGTGGTTCTGTGCTCTCTTGTGGCAGCAAGTTTCCCCAAGCACCCAGAGTGCCTGATGGGTTCCCGTTCTGGCTGCCCATATTCTGTCCAATGGCACTGACTGGACTGCAAATACTGGAAGGGTTGCCTGTTGCCACAGTTCCTTCATGTCCAAGTACAGGCCAGGCAGCTGGGTTGGCATTAGGATTAAGGTTAAGATTAATGCCGGCATTGGAGTTGGAAGCACCCCAGCAATTCTGACTTCTTCCATCCCCAATCATGTTGTCCATTTTTCCATCCCCACCACCAATAGAGCAGTGAGCCAGGCCCGAACCTGAGCCTGTGGCTACCCCCCACACTCTGGCTGCGCTTCCATTCCCATTCACTCCTCCTGTCCCAAGGGCACTCTGATTAGAAGGGCTTTGGACGAGTGCGCCATTGGTGCCATTATTGCCATTTGTCTTCTTGGTATGTCCTGTGAAGCTGCCCTGGGCACCCCCTGTAGCCATGCTACTGTTCTCAGAGACACAGGTAGAGGCAGAGTCAGTGTCTGGAGGACATTCTGAGGCAGATTCAGTCTCTACTCCTGTGATGGAAGGCCACGCCTCCTGGTCAGTCCTGTCTATTATCACTTCATCCCAGTTGCAGTTGGCTTCGCTCCTGTAAGGGGGCTGCTGTCCCCAGTGGGGATTTTCATAATGATCTGCCAATCCACTGTGCCCAAGATCTGAAAAAAGTGAAACAAAATTCAAGATTAGACCTTCCTCCCCTTGTTAATGAATCAACTGTTAATGAATCAGCCCTTAGGAAATCTCTTTATTTATTTCAAGTTTTCAGTTCTAATTGACAAATGCTAAAAATAAAGAAAAAAGTTGTGTCTTTTTAGTAGTTCTCATTTTATTTAATTTTATTGTTTTATTTTTTTGTCTTTTTGAAACAAGGTCTTGCTAGGCAGGCTGGCCTTGAACTCACTTTGTAGCACAGGCTGGTCTCAAACTCACAATGATCCTCCAGTTTCAGTCTCCTGAGTACTATTACAGGTGTGCGCCACCATACCACACCACCACTGCAATCTGGCAGTAGTTCCCATTTTATTTATTTATTTATTTATTTTTTTGTAGTAGTTCCCATTTTAAAGAGATGTTTCCAAAATGATAGTAATTCTCACCACCATATCACACTACCAACCCTTTGAGCAGAGGCACATGAGCATCTCAAGGAATCTGCAGTAAAGACGGTTGCTAAACTCAAAAGTAGAATGTTATAGTTTAGATATAACAAGTTCTTCCAAAAAACTTGCGTTCAGATGGGCTTTCTGGGATCATGAGGACTCTTTATTAGAGGATTAATCTATTATTGAGGCCATAATTTGATGGCATTATTTGGAGATGACAGAAATAGGACTTGGGGCCTCAAAGGGAATGGATCATGGGTATGTGACCTTGGGGACTATATATGGTCCCCAGCCTCTTCCTTTCTGGCTCTTTCTCCTTTCTCTCTTGCTTCCTGGCTGCCATGCAGTAACAGCTTACCTCTGCCATGTACCATGACTTTTCTGTCTCACCACAGACCTAAAAGCAATGGAACCACTAGCCACGGACTGAAACTATGAGCCAAAATAAATCTTTCCTCCTTTAAGTGGTTTTCCTCAGGTATTTGGTCACAGTGATAGAAAACTGATTACCAAATGGCAGCTGTGGAATTTATGACTATGCAGTCCTATAAATATGTAAACACTATAAAACAACAACGAAGACATAAGTTCATATGAACTTTTAAATACAGCTTGGCATTTTCTTCAAGACCTCTAGTTAGAGCTACAGTATTCTACAGGGGCTACAGGCAGCTCTTTCAGTGGAAGAACACTGTAAATGCACTGCAGAGTCACCTAACAACCAATATGGGCTGGGGATGTAGCTCAGCGGCATAAGTACTTGCCTGGCAAGCCTGAGGTCATGAGTTTGATTCCCGGTACCAAAACCAAAAAAAACCCCAACCAACATGGGGGGGTATGAGGGAGGGTGAAAGGTCACATTAGAGGATGTTACCTTCTATTATCAAAGATACTAAGTATTACAAAAGTTTAATTACATTTATTACTTTAACTGATCTTATCACAGTTCCTTGTGTACTAATTTAAAATTCTTAGCCCTATAAGCTGGTTTTTTGGGTGTTTAGGGAATCCTGTACTCATTTTCTATTTCCTTCTAGTCTTGAGATCCTCAGAATAACTATATGATAACTTCCTATAGGATTTATGTAATTTCACTCTTATATTCCTTTTAAAGAACCTGCCATTTTGTAACTGCCTATGACCTCCTATAATTTCTTAATTACCTAAGTATTTCCAAAATTGCAGTGAAATCTATTTTCCAGTAGATTTTATTCAAAGTATGTACTATTCAAACACCAAGTAGATGTTAACTGTAGTGCCAGTACTCAAGAAGATTGCTCTGAGTTTGAGGCCAGCCTGGGCTACAAAGTGAGTTCAAGGCTAGCCTAAACTGCAGTGAGACCCTGTCTCAGAAAGACAAAGAAAAAGTTAAAAAAGTTATTTAATCTAGGGGCTGGGGATTTAGCTCAGCGGCACAGTGCTTGCCTGGTAAGCATGAGGTTGTGAGTTCAATTCCTGGTACTGGAAAAAAAAAAACCCCAAAATCAGAAAAAATTATTTAATGTAAATATACAACAGAATCACTCAATTTACAAATGCTTGGTGAAGCTTCTTTCAATAATTATGCTAACAGATAAACTGCAAAAGATATTTCCTTTTCTTCTAGAATCTTTTAATTATTATGTTCTCTTTAAATTTAACAAGAATCTTATTTCTGGACAGTTAAAACATGGGCTTATCAAAGAAGTCCCCCCCCCCCCCGGTACTGGGAATCGAACTCACGACCTCACGCTTGCCAGGCAGGCTCTGTGCCGCTGAGCTAAATCCCCAGCCCCTAAAGAAGTTCTTTAATGTTTGACAGAGCTAAAGAAAAACAAGGCAGTAAGTTAAGCATCACAATTACTAGAAAAAACACAGTAAAGCTAACATCAACCTTATAAAAGGGATTTCTGTGGCCTGATATAAAAGTAATGTAATAAATTTATAACTATGCTATAAGTGATTCCAAAGTAGAAAAGTAATTCCAGGTGAAAAGTACTAAATGTAGATGAGGCAATAGGAAATTTTAAGTGTCTTATCTACTATGAAACAACCAGGTTTTTAATTACTGAATGTTAATTAGGGGCTGGCTCTGCAACTATGATTTATGACAATTTCCCTTGCTGGGTCTTAAAAACTAGCATATGCAATTATGAATCGAGAGAGAAATGAGCCAGTCATTATTTAACACAGAAAATAAGACCAAGCTAACAGAGATTATAGCTGTTGTCTGCAAATTCTAGCACAGTTCATCCTGTCACCTGTCTCCTTCCCTTAAGAACAGACTGCTGTGAAGCAGGCCACTTGCCTCTTGAGTAGGACCCATAAGCAGACAGCTGGAGGTCAACAACCCAGGCTCACCAAGTCTGAACACAAGGTATCATCATTCCCATTCCTCAATTGTCATACTGTGAAAGGGTCATCCCTGTTAACTGTCTGCTTTGAGGATCTGCACTGAGTTGCTATAGGAGGATTGCTTATCCCCGAAGTGGAAGGGACACAGTCATGTCACAGACTGGAAGATGACAGCAACAGGCTGGCAGAGAGAAGGAGGACTAGCTAAGGAGAGCTGTGGGACAACTCACTGGCCACATGGAAAAAAGTGAAGGAGGTTCCCTTATCTTACGTCATACACAGACATACACTAGGTGACATGAAGACCTAATCAGAAAAAGCAAAGCTTTTTAGAGATTAATAAGGAAATGTAAGAAACTATCTGTGATCTTTGACAGTATATCTCCTTACAGAAGACAAAAAATGAACAAGCCATTAAAAAGCCGATTAAGTTGATTATATTAATTTAAAACACATCCGTTTGATAAAAGACATCATTCATTGGAAACTGAAAAGGCACTGGCAAGGAGTACCAAACAAAGGGTGACTGCCACAGTGAAGAACTTTTATGAGTCAAAGAGAAAGATGGAAAACCCAACCAAAAAATGAGGGAAAAATAGAAACGGCTCTACATAAGAAAAGCCTCAACAGTCACTAACAGCTGAAACAATGAACAGCCTTATAAGCAATCAGGAAACCAGTTTAGAACAATGAGGTGTACACCTAGGTAGGGAAGCACACATGTAATATAAGAGCTGTGGGGGCAGCAACAGTGGCAACTCTGAAGCAGATATGGCAAAAAAAAACTAGGCTAAATTTTGATTGTGGATAAAGTTACACTAGTTTCTGTATACATTCTATTTTCAAAATATTCCAATAAGGTAAAGAATTAGATGATACAAATCATATAACATGATGACATACACAGAGCCTCAAAGGTACCTAAGCCAATGTTCTTAGGAATGTAATTTAAAAAACCAAAAGTGCTATGTTAAAAAATGTGTTAACTTTGAGTGAGCACAGATTCCATGTGACTAAATATCAGTGTGATCACTGAATTATAAATCTAATTTCTCAAGGTAAGTTCCTTGAGGGCACAGATGGTCCTCTGTGGTCTTAGTCCATAACACTGGCCATATATTGGGCATTGTTTCCTAGGTGAAAAAAAGCATAACTGTACATGCCAGAAATCCAAGTTCTTGCTAAAGTTACCAAAGTAGCCCAACAATCTGAAGTCAATACCCAACTCTAAAATGATGTTGAGCTATTTAATCCCTAAGGTTCTGAGCATTAAAACTTCAGATTTCTAGAGCTTATGTACATATTAATGTAAGAATTACATACACACAAAACCAAGCCACATATTTGATGTGGTCAGTGTCAACTACATGAGCAAAGATGTTTAATGTATTTAAATATCTGTAACATAAAATTTACTGTTTAACGTTTTTCTTGAGACAAGGTCTCACTATATAGTTTAGGCTGGCCTTCAACTCACTATGTTGCCCTGGTTGGTTCAAACTCAGGATAGTGATTCTCCTGTGTGTGCCACCATACCCAGCTTAACCTTTTTCAAGTACAAAACTCAAGGATATCAAGTATACTCACACTGTATACAACCATCATCACTATCTACCTCCAGAGTTTTCCCATTATCCCAAACTGGAATCCATATCCATAAACAGTAATTGTACTTCTAGTCCTGCAGTCTCTAGTAAATACTGATTCTACTTTGTCTCCATGAATTTGATTATTCCAAATGCTTCCTATAAGTGAAATGATACAATAGTTCTATTTTTTTACTGGCCTATTTCATTTAGCATAATGTCTTTAAAGTTCATGTCATGGTGTAGTTGTTCTTATGGCTGCATAATATTCCATTGTATGGATAAAACACATTTTGTTTTTGCATCTACTTGTTGATGGACTTTGCCTATTTCCATCCCTGCTTCCAACTATTCTAGGTATATACCTGGAAGCGGGATTGAGGGACATTTTTGGCCAAACTTTTTAATTTATATTGGAATTGGAACTGGTCTTATTTTCTGATACAAAGCCAGGCACCCTCACACTGGTTTCCAGGGACTGCATCACTTTCATTCCCAGTAGCAATGCACAATAGCTGTAATTTTTCACACACTCAACACTCACTTTCTATTTTTTTGAATAATACATTCCAGTGAGAGAAGTGGCATCTCACGGTGGTTTTGATTTGTGTTTCCCTAAAGATGAGTGATGCA